AGATTGGCCGTCACATTATAACGCCCCCATGGCTGAAAGGGCGAGCATGTTTGGTGTGACAGAGATTCGAACCCGCAGATTGCGAGTCGAGCGCCCTAACCATCTGGCCATGCCGGGCCAAAAACAAAAAAAGCTCCCGCTGTGGTATGATAGAATCGAAAATAAAAAAAATGGAAATATTTATATCACGAAAAAATATGTTTTTTGTTTTTAAAAATAGTTGGTCAAGTTTCAGACATGTATAAAATGTATGAGCACGCACTGGTGTTATGGTAACGTTCTATTTTATTTTTGGCAAGAAGCTCTTAAGCAAAATGAATATGTAATATCACAAGCAATTATTACTTTGACTCTATATATGTGTGTGCCTTTCTTTTTTTTCAGTTTTTTGCGTTGAGTGTTCGTACTGGTTAGTATCACACTCATCTATAAAAAGCCAATATGGCGCCCGCTCGGGTCATATAGTTGCTGGAGATATAAGTGTGTCGATCGGATTTTATGATGTCACTATCAGACTGAAAGGTAAGTTGAAATATGTAATTTTGACTATTCTTACGGTAAAATATTACAAATTAAGTATTTTCTTCAGACTTACGTATATTTTAAGTTTTAGTAGAACAGAATTCCAAATTTAATTATTCCATTTCTATCAGCTTAAAAATATGATTTAAATACATGGATCTCTATCAATTAATCTACAGATTTTAGGAACGACAATGAACATTGCGCTTTACATATATATCTCTTGGGTATTACAGTGAACTCGTTGCATATTTTATGTGTGATCCTGTGTGCTAACTTTTCATCAGAATCGGGTATTACAGTAATACGTTGGACTCGCCATCTGTTGAACATATTTTACATTAATATCACATGATTACCTAAAAGACGGACTTCATTGATTTGTGGAACCGAATTTAGAGAAATAACTTATTTTACATTTCGTTTCTTCGTTTATTTTTACTAGATACACTTGCGCAGGGTCCCCGAAAGTGTTCTGTTCAAGAGTAAATAAAAACCAAAATTATGAGTAGCAAATATTTTTATTTCATGCTGTGTTGTAGCCTACAGAGTGCATAATTCTTCTCGTGATTCATGACATGCGCACATTTTACTGACGTCACGACAGTACAAATTGCAACGTTAAGCGTCCCTTATGTGACGTCATTTTAGTGTCTACTGACTGACTAATAGACAACACATTGGTGCGAGTGGTTGAAACAGGTGACCCCTCCAGGTGGCCTTTGGCCCCTTTTCGGGGAAATTAAATTCATAACTACTGTATTAATTATTTTAAGTATAAATGAATAAAAAATTAAGAATTGTCAATAGTTTACAATGCGAACGATTAAATTCCGTAAATAAGTAGCTTTTAATGGTAAGTGAGTGGCTAACACATTAAACTGAACAGAATATTAATTAGATGTTTGTACCCCAAGATGTGGTTCTCTTTCCAAGATATCTTAAGTTTTCCACTTTGTACGAAACGTAATCGCTAAGTTTGGTGATGCTGTCAATACCGCTTTACCTAGTTAATTAATAAGTTCGAAAAAAATATCTAAAAATATAATTCGAATTTACTGGTTGATATGTTTTCCGGCAGGTGGCGTTTCTGGTAATAAAACCGAAACTGTTGACATTCGTCATACGTTCAAATGGGATGACGGTAAGATAAACAAGAACATTCTTCTTAACTTTGTATACATGTTATTTAAATTGTGTTAGTCTTAATTAATGATACGTTTGCTTTAGGTCTTATTAAATTTATAAACATATTAAACTTTGTTCTGGTAAACAAACTTGCATTGTTTTAGTGGGATTTTACGTATTTTAGGCGTTTTAATAAAAATGACACACACACACAAAACACAAGCCCTGCAGCTAATTCATAAATTTAAAGCAATATAAATTTAGAAAGTGAATTGGGATGTCAACGTATCTATTGTGGGCCATTTTAGAATAATGTGTTGACTGAGGTGTTCAAGATATCCAGGGTGGCTGTCAATCCCACTATTTATTGTTAAAGAGCAGCCCACTAGTCTATCACTTCAAAATTAGGGATAGTTAGCACAGGTAGCCGTTCCCGGTGGGACAGTAAGTCTACAGACTTACAACGCTAAAATAAGTTATCTAATGTGGCTTTGCCCCCAAAAAAAGAAACACAGTAACTTTGCGAGAGATTCAACAAAGCAAACTAACAATCAAAGGACCTTACGAATGCTTCAAATTTAATGATATTAACCGAAGTAGCTATTTTGGACGAGCCTCAAATAGTAACTAATGTAAAGGATTGGATTTTGTTCACACGAAACAAAAGGATCATGGGAAAAGTACTTGTTATTTGACGTTGGGGGGGATTTTTTTTATACTTGTTAGTGAATTTGTAAATTATTTGAATATATATTTTTTATAACTGATTGTAAGATGAAGTATGACAACAATTAATTACAATGTGGATAATTATTTTTTTTACGTGTAAATAGTATAAATGGGGGATATATTGTAGAATTTTATCACATGATTTTGTGAATTCATGTTATACAGGTAGAAATATTACATGATAAAACTGTGTATTTTGTTTAAATGACAAATATTGATATGGGCTTTATTTGCCTATCCACAGATTACTGTGGGCAAAACCATTTATATGCCCCTGAGTTTCAGCAATCTGCGGGTTCAAATCCCCGTCCCACCAAACATGCTCGCCCTTTCAGCCGTGGGGGAGTTATAATGTGATGGTCAATCCCACTATTCGATGGTAAAAGAGTAGCTCAAGAGTTGGCGGTGGGTGGTGATGACTAGCTGTCTTTCACTGCTAAATTAGGGACGGCTAGCACAGAAAGCCCTCGTATAGCTTTACTCGAAATTCATAACAAACCAACCCTATTTTTTAAACCTCTCAAAGTAAAGTGTCCTTTATCATACATTACATTATAATGTTCCATTATACGATTGAGGGTGGACAAGTAGAGTAAAAAAAGATCTCTGACTTTATAGGTTACATGAAGCACCAGCTAAAGGTAGCGTTACAGCAGGGACTCCCGTTTCCTGTACTAACAGTCCTGGAATATTTTATCGAAGACTTCGGGTGGACTCCACGGTTCTGTATGGCAGGAAGATTTGTTGCTGCTCTGCTATCGTAAGACCATTTTGAATATAATTTATAAATTATTATTGAATTACATCAACAGATGGCACCAGTTACCAAACCAAAACTATAACCGTTAACGAAAACTGGAAAGAGTTTTAAAAATTGAGGAAATAAAATTATAAGTTTTACTTATGTATTTTTTTATTACTATAAATGTAAATTTGGTATCAGGAAAACTGCCCTCAAAATTCAAAAGGTTGTATTTATAATCACTTGGCATTAACCCAGCTAATATAAAAAGTTTTCTACAATGTTGCTGAATAGTTGTGCATCGGTGAAATCCACAACGTCATGTATTATATGTTGTGACAACGTTGTGGCATCGTTAGACGATAATGGTGAATATATATATATATATATATATATATATTAATGAAATAAACAATTTATAAAAATTTCAATAACAGTTTACATGTTTTAAAATACTTAACACATTATTTGATATATTTTTTGTATGGTTTACGCTTTTAAAATTTACAA